ATTAGACAGACAGACAGTCAGAAATACTGATATAAACCCTAATACAGACGGACGGACACAGAGACAGACAGACAACAGAATATGAACCTGGCCATATTATGATAACAAACAAAATTGAAGAAAAACAAGTTGAAAATATGATTCATAAATATCTGAGACATATATGTGATTGATGTACAAGATAAACAGGAATCGTGCTGCTGTGTCCTACAGTGAGTGCAGTATACAAAACAGACAGACAGACGGACGGACAGAAATCATACTTTCAACCTTGCTACAATATAACACATCAAAATTGAAAAACACACCTGAAAATGTAGATTTTTTGTTGTAAATATTTTAGACATGTTTGTGATTGACGGGAATCGTGTTGGCGTGTCACTCTTCGCTGAATGCAACATACAAATCCGACTGACAGACAGGCAGGCAGGCAGACATACAGACAGACAGACATCAGAATTCGCACCATGCCACATTATATATCCCCCCCAAAAAGTGAAAATACATCTGAATATATATGAGTTTGTTATGTCGTATATATTTCAGACATATTTGTAGTTAATACAAATGATTCATTTTTTCATTTTTAATTGATAGTTTAAGGAAAGTGCGAATTCTGATACGGCTCTACATAATGGGAGGCCTCTACGTGGCTAGAGCTGGACAACAATATCTAGTGGTTATGAAGGCTGATTAAGGACATTTTTGCTCCTTGTGCTTTGTCGCAAAAGCCAGATATGACCATTTTCAGCCCCCATAGATAGTTGTTGACTAACGTCCCTAACGTTTACATGTTACATTTTGGAATAGCGAGTCGAAATATGAAATCCAAGTGATGAATCTAATGATACTAATTCTGTTACTCACTGGAACTGTGTGGTTTTACGTTAAGACTTCTTATGTAAAGAATGTGTCCTTTTTGTGTCCTTGTTTTCTTTGTCATGCTACACTTTCTGCAGTATTTTACTCTCTGTAAATGTATATGCATGACTACAGAGCTTCGTTTAGTTTATTTATGCATCCACATCTAAACGGTTAAGACGTTTAACTAAGCTGACGACATAACACGCGCGTTTTCAGCTTTATATAATAGCGTATGTTTGAGAAGTAACTAATTTAAAAACATCATAAGTGTGCCAATTTTTAACAAAATCTCACAATTTCTCGGAAGACTCGTTCAACACCAGAAGAGTTTTAGTTGAGCAAATACTGATACTGGTGAAGCCCGGGCGAGCCCGATGTTACAAATAACACTCATGATTTCAGCTTAATCGTACGGTTGAGAAGTAACTAGTTCCAAAACAACATAACTATGCCAAAAAATAACGTATTCTCCTATTTTTTCACTGGTGTTATATATACACCAGCAACTGAATGATTACATTTTTTTTCTGGTTACGTTTAAATCTAGCTTATGGTAAGATTTTTGTCAGCATTGTGTTAGTAACACACACATCTTAACAAATACAGGGTTTTTATTGACTTAACGATAAAGATGAAAGCCCGGGCGGTCCCGATGCTGCAAATAACACGCGTGATATGAGTTCAGCGTAATGTAGCGAAGTATCTAAAGTTAGATCAGCATAAATCTGTTTATCATAAAGATATTTTCACACTGTCTTTTATTTTTTAATTCTCATTCATTAAATAACCCGAGTAAAGTACTTAGATTAAATTTACTTTACAGGGTAACGCCCGGGCAGTCCTAATATTGTAAATAACAAGTCCTGCAGGGTTGGTTGATTTCAAATTACAATAACTTGGCTAATTATGAACATATTTTGATATTTCTTTCAGTTTTGTATTTTTCGTTTCTAAAGATATGAGAATAAGTTACTTCATTACAGTTTACTACACAGGTGAAAGCCCGGGCGGTGTTTGTATTGCAAATAACAAACGTCTGGCGCTACTCCAGCGGGTTGTTGCGATGTTACAAAGTTCAAAGAACCATAACTCGGTCAAATTTAATGATTTTTTTCACTATTGTTTTATCACTACATTCATACTGTTACAAACAATGCAAAAAATACAATCATAATGGTGTATAAGTGGAGACAAACGCCCGGGCGGTCAATATATCACTACCGGGCTGTCCCGGGCTGTACCGGGCTGTAATTAGCGGGACCGGTTTAATGTGTTCGTTTCGCTTGTTTGTGCCGGAAACTGTTCTGTAAAATATAACTATAACAGAGGCGCCATATCTCTTTACTGAATCAGCCTAGAGCTGGGATAAGCAGTCAACAACAATATACATTCAGGTCGAACTATTTGATGGGACAGGCACGGTCTAAGTGTTGAAGGTATACGTCAATAGTAACTTTATAATTAGTAAAAGACAATGTCAGTGTTGGTGTGACATTAATGATACATGGTGCTCCAGATATCGCCACGAGGGCCCAGCGTCCTATTGTTTCGTTTGTTCATTGCGTCCCTTCTGTCCATCTGTGGGTATATATAAGGCGCAGTGTCACGTATTGCGTCGGGGGAGGCTGCCAGATATCTAATAGCTTTGGAGGCTCAGAGATCTGTTGAAGCTGCAAGTGTCTGCAGTGCGTCCTTGATATTCCAGGGGTCCACTCGAATAATCAGGTTGGGGAAAACCACCAACTTGCGTATAATACGCAAACTCGCCTATTACTATTAGAGTATACGCCAGTTGGAGTATGGATTTGTTACTACAATAACTCAAATTGCTTTAACAGTAACTTTTGCAAGATATTATTAAAAATTGCATTAATTTACGACAAGGTAAATAATATTTTGCTAAAAGATATTTACTGAAAGCGTTAGAAACTTGAAGTTGATGGAACTTTACTGGAAGTATTGCATCTATTTTTGGTACTTTCCCACATGCAAATAAAGTTTGTTTTTGCATTAGTATTATGTTTCATGACTGAATAAATGCACAGTGTAAATCACAACGGGGCGATTTTAGAATTAATTGATAGCACATTGGTCTGCACCCATTAATAATAGGGTTGTAGTATGAATTATTTCTGTTGATATCCTGTATAACTTAAGGTTAAACTCGAAATCTGAATTGATCACCAAATATAACGCATCAATATTTTTCGTTGGATGCGAGATCTAAAAATCCTTGGCAAGTAAAAGTCACTTCACTGGCATATTTCTTACACTTTTAAATGTATACGGACATATGATACTTATTGCTGAAATAACATATTCATGTCATTTCTTATCATTTTCTTCATGTTGGTAAGTATGGATTCTTGTTACACAACCAATAAATGTTTCTATGTGACATTTCGATGACTAGTACAGTATTTCATCAGACAAATGACCAGTGAAGCCTTTAAACCTTTGTATGTACATAGCTTCACTGGTCATACCACACATTTTACACCAACGCTTCACTGGTCATACCACACCTTTTACACCTACGCTTCACTGGTCATATACCACACATTTTACACCTACGCTTCACTGGTCATACCACACCTTTTACACCTACGCTTCACTGGTCATACCACACCTTTTACACCTACGCTTCACTGGTCATACCACACCTTTTACACCTACGCTTCACTGGTCATACCACACATTTTACACCTACGCTTCACTGGTCATACCACACATTTTACACCAACGCTTCACTGGTCATACCACACCTTTTACACCTACGCTTCACTGGTCATACCACACCTTTTACACCTACGCTTCACTGGTCATACCACACATTTTACACCAACGCTTCACTGGTCATACCACACATTTTACACCAACGCTTCACTGGTCATACCACACCTTTTACACCTACGCTTCACTGGTCATACCACACCTTTTACACCTACGCTTCACTGGTCATACCACACATTTTACACCTACGCTTCACTGGTCATACCACACCTTTTACACCTACGCTTCACTGGTCATACCACACCTTTTACACCTACGCTTCACTGGTCATACCACACCTTTTACACCTACGCTTCACTGGTCATACCACACCTTTTACACCTACGCTTCACTGGTCATACCACACCTTTTACACCTACGCTTCACTGGTCATACCACACCTTTTACACCTACGCTTCACTGGTCATACCACACCTTTTACACCTACGCTTCACTGGTCATACCACACCTTTTACACCTACGCTTCACTGGTCATACCACACCTTTTACACCTACGCTTCACTGGTCATACCACACCTTTTACACCTACGCTTCACTGGTCATACCACACCTTTTACACCTACGCTTCACTGGTCATACCACACCTTTTACACCTACGCTTCACTGGTCATACCACACCTTTTACACCTACGCTTCACTGGTCATACCACACCTTTTACACCTTTGTGTACATTCTTCATTTGTCTGATGAAGGTGACCGAGTACATAAAGCACTAGTTATCAAAACGTCACATAGAAACACTTACACTAGTTATCAAAACGTCACATAGAAACATTTATTGGTTGTGTCACAAGAATCTTTTCATTATTTATGTCATGTATGTAAAATATTCACAGTTTTAGGATTGTCAAACTTTCCAATAGAATATTCGAATACTATTTGAATACAACATAACAAATATTTGAATACCAAAATCTGGTATCTATGTAAAAACATAACTTTCACAAATGTGAAAAGCAACAGACGTCTTGCATCATCTAATTTGTGTTCTAATAGAAATTGTAGTGAAAATTACCGGGAATTTATGTGTTTAAAATGCTAATTGCAAATTGGTTACCTTCATGATTAAAGAATTAAACAGAAGCATCTTTGTCAGCCATAACATCATAAAAAAATAACTAGCCCTTGAGGAAAATCTAGTAGGGAATAATGTGTAGAAGGCCTGGTTCCAGACATATTATTCTCGCACTTCAGACAGATATCCCATGTCATACCCCATTCTAGATTTTTTTATCTCGTCCGATCTGTCTTGTATCTTTATGTGACATTGCGCGAAATGTTTACACTGCGATGTATTTATCCGCGTTTACTGATTGAAATAGACAATTTGCATTATAAATGTTATGTTTTGTCGTTATATGTATATTTTTGATGTTGTAACATATTTGTTGTTGTAGATAAAATATAAACAACACTGCAAAATACGTTGTAAACTATGTAAGGACGGACTACGTTTTTACCCGGAAGCATTCAAATGTAGCTTTAGTAGTGAAGAGGTCATTATCACTTGAGGCCCAAGGCGGGATACTTGTAGTTTTTAGCAAAATTGAATATATTTTTTTTTAACTAAAAGGTGCGAGAAAAAAAATCAATTACCTGTAACTGAGCAAGATCGGGATATATCAGTCTTGGGCTAAGATTCTATAACATCCAAACCTCGGCCTACGCCTTGGTTGGGATTTTGTTACAGAATCTTAACCCTCGACTGAGATAACCCAATCTCGCTCAGTTACAGGTGTAATATATTTTATTAGTGAAATGAGTTGGGCTTCTACCAAAACACTGATATTAGCTTCAATGAACCACAGATAGTCCAGAGTGTTAGTATTTCTTCTTGTCTTCTGCTCATTTAAGTCATTATCAAGGAAAAAAATAAAATAACACTTTACATTCCAATCAGAGCAAAAATTTGAATTATATAATCAATTTTATAATTTTCTGGTAACCTTGAATGTTTATAACTTAAAACAAAAGAAGAAATTCTTCAAAGACCAGTCTCCTTTGGGTGATACAAAAAGCAAAGATTTACCAGTTATTTTCTAACAAACATTGTAAGTGACCCTTTAGAGCTTTAGTGAATAAATAAATATGTATTTTGATATTATTTGATAAATTAAATATTTTTTACTTTTTTTCAGATGCAGTGAATGTATTACATTGATAATATGTAGTTTATGTTCCAAATGACTAGATTTTGAAGATTTGAATACAGGATGTCAAGAAAGCGACATACTGAGGTGTCATGGGATAGGTATGCTGCCACCATTACCGTAAAAACCTATGTAATTTGTGCACCTATGTAAATTTGTGCACCTATGTAAATTTGTGCACCTATGTAAATTTGTGCACCTATGTAATTTGTGCACCTATGTAATTTGTGCACCTGTGTAATTTGTGCACCTATGTAATTTGTGCACCTATGATGTTAAAACTAAAAAGAAACTGCGTAAAATGTATACATCAATTCATTTTAGCAATATTTTACATAAAACATTTACTTGCTTACAAAAACATATCAATTAATAAGTAATTCGATGTTTAGTAACCGCTGGTGCATATCTCCTGGTGAAAGACATAATTAGATACCTTTTATTGATCATAATTATGATCAGAGAGAAGGGCTCATCATGGCGGCTTGGGTATCGTCATTTCAAACCAGGTCATGATCATGTCACAGTTCAGTTTGGCGATATTTTTTGGCCACACAATTTGTACCTACTATAAAATTATTAAAATCGGTCATCTGTGGTCATGACTGCTGGTTTTGCGACATTTACAGGTAAGTTAACCGGAGGGCATGATTTCACCGACATCGTCTGTCCAGTCCTATCACAATTTATTGTCATCACTTAATAAATTTCAATTATTTAACTGATTTTATCAAACTTTAAACTAAGGTAAATTACGATGATTGTTAGTTTTATCAAGAATGCCATTTAGATATTTTGCGTGTTTACTTTGTCTCCTGTAAAGTACATGCAGAGACAGCACCAGCACTGGTATGTTTTATGGAGGATTGGTTTGTTTTCCAGCGATGATGATTTGCTGAGAGATGATGCTTCTGCCATTAGTGCATTTCCCAAGAGTGAGGTAAGAGAAACAGATTTGATCAAACTACAGTAAAATACAAGGACATTTTAACAAAGTAACAGAAGTTGTACAATTCATGTAAACCAAATAAAAAAAAGTACAGGTAGTATTGTTTGCACCAACCCAAGATTTATAATTCAATACTGATTGCAGCAGATTTTTGATAAAAAATTAATAATTATATATGAAAAAATGTGTTTGTGTTGACACAAATTTCTCATTACTTACAAGTGTTTCTATGCTTTGCTTGTGCAGTGTGTATTTTATGTTATTCAATTGCAGTAACAGTGTTAAACATGTATGTGTATTGACTGCCTGCAGATCCGTGTAGATTCTGATGATGAACTGGATGAAGAATTACTTCTGGGAAGTGATGATGAACACGCCACCAAGAAGTCCTCTAGCAAAAAGTCATCCTCAGCTTCTAGCAAATCCTCATTAAAAGCCAGCTCAAAGTCAGCACCAACAAAAAATAAATCTGTGTCCCTAAAATCTAGTACAAAGTCTGTGTCTGATACAAGTGTTCCAAATAACAAACAGAAAGAGGAGGAGAAGACGACAGGTTCTAAGTCACTGACAAGTGTTAGTACACCTGTAGTTGAGACGAAGAAAACATTCAAATTTACAAAAATTGTACCTCCCTCTCCTGATAACGACAAAGAGAAGCCTTCAAAGAGTAAAACTGGCAGTAAATTCCAGTCAAGTGTTCAACAAGAGCCTATCAAGGAGCAATTATCACCATTGCATGAAACAGCTGTCAAACCTCAGCCTGTAAGACATTCCTCACCAAAGGAATCGGTCACCAAAACCCGTTCACACAGGGAGCAGCCTCAGAAACACAAGGCCAGTCAGGAATCTGTTTCCAAGCATGAACTGTCACCTCCACAAAAACCGATTAGGAAAGAGCCCATCCCAGTAGTAGAGTAGGTTTTATACTAAATGTGTGTTAGATGTTTTGTATTTAATGTGTTGTGTGTTTCATCCATTCTGTTAAACTTGAGGCTGGCCCATGGGCCAGATCTTCACTGAACCACAGAATGGCAAGTTTATGTTATTAACTGAAATATGTTTGGAATAGTTGAAGTACATTAATATTTTATGAAGATGTTTACTTAAAGGTTAGCTGACTTGAGACACTTGATCTTGAATTTAAAGGGAGCTGACTTAAAAGACAAAGTTGATTCTATATTTTAAGTGAGCTGACTTGATTAAATATTTAAAGGGAGTTGACTTGATTTAATATTTAAAGTGAGCTGACTTGAGACACACTTGATTTTGTATTTAAAGTGAGCTGACTTGAGACATTTGCATGATCTTGTATTTAAAGTGAGATGACTTATGACTCTTGATTTTGTATTTAAAGTGAGCTGACTTTTAAAGACACTAAATATTTTATTTAAAGAGAGCTGACTTAAATGACACTTGCTTGAACTTGAATTTAAAGTTAGCTGATTTATGACACTTGATTTTGTATTTAAAGTTAGCTGACTTGAAACATACTTGATTTAATATTTAAAGTGAGCTGACTTGAGACATACTTGATCTAATATTTAAAGTTAGCTGTCTTGAGACATACTTGATCTAATATTTAAAGTGAGCTGACTTGAGACATTTGCGTGATCTTGTATTTAAAGTTAGCTGAATTATGACACTTGATTTTGTATTTAAAGTGAGCTGAATTATGACACTTTATCGTGTATTTAAAGTGAGCTTACTTAAGACACTTGATCTTTGTTACAGGATAACTTCAAGGAGTGACTTTGAAGATGAAGAGCAGGAGGAAATAGTACTTGACATCTTGGATCCTGCAGCAGACCAGGATCTGTTTGAGGAAACAGACCCCCTCCTGCACTCAAGTCAGGTAGCAGACGAATGTGCATATTTGACCTAAATCGTTGAAATTTAATGTAAATGTTGAACTTTGATCTAACTTGTTTGAGGTATATTTTACCTGAATTCTAAAAATATGTTGTGAGCTAGCTTTGGAAATGATGACCTTTGTATTGAAATGCTTGAGAATTTCCTCTTCTGCAGGATTTGTAAAGGCTGTTCATAATTATTGCCATAGAAGTATGATATCATTCGTAACAAAAAATACCACTGACAAAAGTTCAGGACTTGCATCAGTTAATGGAGATGTTGTCCATGTGTCAGGTTTAAGGAAATCTACAAAAATTAAATGAGTGAAAAACTTTTCCATGTCTTTTACAGGATTCCTTGCTGGAGTCTGATGCTGCGGAAGAAGAAGAAATGGAAGAAGAAGAGGAAGAGGAGATGGAAGAAGAAGAGGGAGAAGAAACTCAAGATATTACAGAGGAAGATACTGCCCTAGAGGTTTGTTTCTGATATATCTTTGCAATCATTTCTTTCTTTATAATAATGCCTTCACAAGTTGCCTCATGTATTGTTTGCCATCTTGCAAATCACTACTGGTTTTGAGCTCAACTTGGACAAAGTGAGTTAGAGCATATATACAGTGACTCGGCATACATCTACAAAGTTTTATATACAGTGACTCGGCATACATCTAAAAAGTTTTATATACAGTGACTCGGCATACATCTACAAAGGTGTTTATATACAGTGACTCGGCATACATCTACAAAGGTGTTTATATACAGTGACTCAGCATACATCTACATAGTTTTATATACAGTGACTCAGCATACATCTACAAAGTTTTATATACAGTGACTAGGCATACATCTACAAAGGTGTTTATACAATGACTCAGCATACATCTACAAAGGTGTTTATACAATGACTCAGCATACATCTACAAAGTTTTATATACAGTGACTCAGCATACAGATCTACAAAGGTGTTTATATACAGTGACTCAGCATACATCTACAAAGGTGTTTATATACAGTGACTCAGCATACATCTACA